ATGGCCGGTTTGCTCACTGGCTGAGCGTGGTGCTGATAACACCAAGGCCATGGGTTCGGATCCTATATAGGGATGGCCGGTTTGCTCACTGGCTGAGCGTGGTGCTGACAACACCAAGCCAAGGGTTGAGATCCCCTTACCGGTCATCTTTTAAAAAAAAAAAAAAAAAGAACTACACTCTTTTCTCTATACTTTTATGCTCCCCTAGACATAGTTTTATAATTGTATGTTTTACCCTGCATCTATTTTTATATGCCTGTCTCCTCTATTAGACTATAAGTTTCTTGAAGGCAGAAATCATGTGAACACTGCCTCTAATATATGTGCCCTAGCCTGACACCTGGGTGTTCACATGATTTAAACAAATGAACCAACACTTTATGTGAGTTTTCAAATATTTGAAGGACCGCTTTGTACATTACTAAAGAGATTTTAATATGTGCACCTTCAGAGAGCCCAGAACAAGGATAAATGGGGGCATGTGTTCAGAAGACTGTTTTGGGCTCACTAGGAGGAAATGCTTTAGTATTGGTCAGGATAAATAGATTCTGCCAACAGAAGCCTAATTTAAAGTAGCTTGAGCAAAGGGAGAACTTTTTTGGTACACAGATTCCAAGGTAAGTTAGAACTGCCAACCTGCAGGAAGGCCAGGGACAAAGCTGGACCTCAGGAACACTCGCAAAAGGCACTGGATAGCCATCAAGACTCCGTGCCCCTTGCTGCTGCTTCTGTGTCAGCTTCCTTCTTCCTTACTATAGACTGGCCTCCTCCACATGGCAGGAAACATAGCTGCTGAAAACTTGGGCCTCACAGCTCACAGCTCACAACTTTCCATCACAGAGAGACAGGTTTTCTTCCCCAATTCCAGTTTAAAGTGTTTTGGTGAATGACTTTAATTGGCACAGTTTAGGTCTGTGGTCAGGGAGATGGGCTTGAGTCAGATACCAGTCAGCTGAGGCCAAGGGTGGGATCCTGTATGAACAAAGGAGTTGCCATTGGAACCACACAGTTATAGCGGGAGAAAGCCATTTCCAAAAGGACTGGGGATGTGGATACAACTTTCAGAAGAGAGGGGTTGTACTCTTTTGCTTCCACTTTCTAACAATCATAGCCATCCAGCTCCAGGCAATTTCTGGTTGCTCTCAGAGGTGCAGGAGAAGGAAGGAGATAAATAGACTGTGGTCACTCCCAATATTTAGAACCAGGTTTAGGCTGTGCTTAGCATCTTGCTCTTGGGAATTACTGAATGATTTAATTATTTTTCCAGGCATTAGGACTTAGCGCATTTCTCCCTCTGGAGCTGGGAAATGGCGGCTGAAGGAGTGGAGAAGGAGGTTCAGTGATCCTAGAAGCATTTATTAAGCTCCTAATCTGTGCTAGATACTGGGAGGGGTGGGAGGAGACACAAGATATATCCCCAGAGGAGTTCTGGCCTTGCAGGACCTGTGGTCACTAGTGGAAGTGATTGGGTTTGTCTAAGTGCTGGACCAACAGCCCCTGGCCAGGCGTGGGTCGGTTGTGGCTGCTGCCAGGCGGAGGGCGGCTTCTCCGGCTCCCTTGTTTCCCGCGGATCTAGCCGGAGCTTCCGAGCCATTTACCTGGTCCCCTGCCCGGCCTCTCCAGGCGGCGCCTCGCGGACCCCGCTTCGGGAAGGCGGCAGAGTCTGAGCTTCCTCATCTGCGAAAAGGGACGGCACGGGATGGGAGCTGGGAAGAAGGCTGGCGGGAAGCCGGGGTCTGTCCTGGCGCGGTCTCGAGGGCGGCGCCCCTGCCTTCCTCCCGAGGCCTCCCTGGGCCCTCGCCCGACGCCGGCGCAGCTCCAGACCCGCGTCGGTCCGTCGAGGAAGCCGGCAGCCCGGGCCTGGCGGTGCGGCGAGGCCCCCGCGGGCCGGCGGCCTCGTATAACTTC